CACCCACCCACCCACAATTAGTCAAGGATTGCATAAACAGTGCAGCTTTCCTTCCTGTTCTAAACTGTTCTCCTGGCCCACGTGTCACAAAACTTCTCAGTCCCTGAAGCGCAGCTTTCCTAGCAAAGGCTACAAACAACAGATGAGATGAGAGCCCCCGCCCTCGAGCCAGTGACTGTGTTGAGGTGCAAAAGGGCCCTCAAGGGAGTGAAGCCACAGGCTGCCTGAAGAGCTTTTGAGAGTCACTGCACTACAAAACAGTTCTCCTAAATCGTCCCGCTGGTCTGCATGTAATTCTTTCCTAGAAGATCTCTGGAAGTTTAAAACTGTCATCCAAGCCCACTTGCCATCGGACTTGCTCTTTGTGTAAAGTTATCCCTACAGGGAGTGGGGATGGACTTGCCTAGAATCCTTTGCAGTCAAGGCATCTACCCTCAGGTCATGGCAGCAGTGGGACATAAGTACAGAGGTCAATTTAGGGCCATCTGTGAAGGTGTTGTGTGAATACAAGTGTTCTATATGTATATGTATATGCATTTAAATAGTGCTTGCCAAAGAACGGTTTTGCAGCAGAATTTGAGCGCGCGTTGAATGGTCTTTGAAGTATGTTTCTTCTTCTCTCTTTGTTCCCTTTTTGATTTAAAAGGAGTCTTCAGAAAATTCTGGATGAAGAACATGATGATATCCTTGAGAGCCTGGAGATGGACTTCACGGTAAGACATTTTTTGCGCCATTCAGAAATGCCATGTGTTCACTTAAGCAAATCAGTATCCAAATGAAAACAGCACAACAGGTCCGTAACTCATGCAGGAAGAGTGCTGTGTCAGGCCCCGCAAAAAGAATGACAGGGATAGCTCAGCTTGCAATGTTTTGATTTACTTGTGTAGATAATGGAAGAAGAAGGAAGCTCCGTGGTTGCCATTGAACTTAAAAAAAATGGTACCGACGTTCCTGTAACTAAGCATAACAGGTAGGTTTTATTGTTCTTACCCTGTTGTCTGTAATGAATATATGAAACATACCTCTACCCATCACCATAGCCTTTTGGAAGTGTTTGGCATTCTGTTCTCTAAGAGGAATAGGTTTCTGTCTATTGGCTTTGAGCTGTAAGAACTTAGTGTTCCCGTGGTTTTTTAACTCGTGTCCTCCCTGCCAGAAATCTGTGCACTTGCTGGCCAAAGCATTTGCACGGTCAGTCTCATACTCTTAGAAAGTGCTGAGCATCAACATTGTGTTACATACATAGGATGTATCTTGCATGTAGCAGAGGAGGAGAAATCTAGCAATAAGTCATTGTGTCAGCGTTAACCCCAGCACAGGGGACAGAGAGAAATTCTATGTCTTGAGTTACGCAGATAGTCTGGAGACCCATATGGATCCACGAAAGGCCTTTTTAGGAAGCTTAAAGTATACTACTTACATTGGGTTGATTGTACAGAAGTACAGTGTTGCCAAATGATTCCTCATCACAAACAGAGAGAAGAGTGAAATTGTACTGATTAGCAGCTGCGTAAATAAGTCTTTTGATTTTAGGATAATTCTTTGGCTTTTGAAATGAGTTTCTCTGGATCTACACCATTTCTGTCTGCTGGGTTTTGTCATAATAGTGAAGTGACAAATAGGATTTCACAGTTCATATGAAGTATGAGGAATATTACCAAAATGAATCAGTCTTGGCCAGCATTCTCTTTTATTTGTGATGATCTTACCAGCTTAATTCAGTCAATGACTAATTGCCAGCGATGACTGCTGTCAGTAAAGACAATGTAAAGCAGGTCATATGTGCAGCATATGGCCCCAGCCGTCTCCAAGGAATAAAGTTCTATATATTTCTCCTTTTTTAAGAACACCACCTCTTACATTGCTTGTTTGAATCAAAATATCTTTGCAGAAAGGAATTTGTTGACTTGTATGTGAATTATGTCTTCAACGAATCAATAAAGAAGTCATTTGAGGACTTTATGCGAGGGTTTTCAAGAGGCTGCCCAGCTAAAAGGTGGAAGATGTTTCTCCCTGTAGAGCTCCAGACTGTTTTCCAGGGACAAAAAAAATATGACTGGCATCTGCTGGAAAAGGTACTGGATACAAGCAGAGTGTACCTCTGCTATATTTGCTGAGCATAAACTCTTTCTGTCCCGTTCTTTTATTGATTACGTATGTCATAAACACCAAAATAGAAGCTCAAGGGACTCTTTTTTTCCCACTTGTCTCATTGTTTTGAATCTATTTCTTATCTACAGCAGCTACAAGAGTAAAGGGGAATAAAAATCAAGTAACGGATCAAAGATTGTCATATACATCTTTAAAAAATAAACAAATAAGCAGATTCCAGAGCCTAAGAGGATTTGAACATCTATGAACAGGATTATAAAATATATTGGGTAAACTGTTGTTGCTTTAAATGAAAAAGGATTAACTGGCCAGTTTCATTTTTATTCTCTTCCACAGAATGTGAAGTACATAAATTATAAAAAGTCAGATCAAACCATCAAGAATTTTTGGACTGTGTTTCACAAACTCCCAGAAGAAAAAAAGAAAACGTTTCTTGGTAATATATTGGATGCTTTAAATTCTTTTCTAGCCCCTTTTCTCCCCCACAGCACACATTTTAGATGCTTACACATGAAAAATACTGTCGTTCCAAATGGCTTTTAGCCATGTCTTTCCCCCCATTTTCTAGTGGAAGCCAGAGAGAACAACCCAGGAAATATGCACAGACTCAGTTCTGACCTCTCCTGAGGCTCAGCCAAGCGCACCCAACACACCTATGAACCTTGTGATTATTTTACCCCTTACTTCTGTGGATATCAGTTGTTGGTCAGAGGCCTCAGAGACCTACCTTGTGCATACTGACACAAGCAGTTTAGCTTTTTCAAAGGACTGAAGAATCCAGGCCATCCTTTTTAAATGCAGAAGGTCCAACGTAGCCTGGCTTTTCTTATCCACAAAGTCTGTACAAGTAAAAGTAAAACAGAGCTTATAAACTTTATGAATTGCAACAGACTCTATTATATTCAAGTATAAATCCAAGAAAGAACAATAATTAGCTTATGGAAATAATCATGTGTTTACAGTAATTTTCTTTCCAGTTTTTCATCCTCTGATAATGTTATCGTTTTTTTTTTTTTTTTAAATCTACTAACTAGGTTTTTTTTCCTCCCTCAGCTTTTTTGTCAGGATCTGATCGAATCCCTGTAAATGGACTGGAATCTTCAATATTTGCTATTGCTGATCCTAAAGAGGATAATCCGGATACACGCTATCCTGTTGTCAATACCTGCAGCCACATTTTGTTCCTCCCCAGATACAGCTGTGAAAGAATACTCAAGGAAAAGCTCCTCTCTGCCATAGAGCATTATGAGAATTTTGGCTTGCCCTAACTTTTGGTCAGGAGCACTTTGAAGCAAAAATAAGAAGCAGAAAATTCAGTCTTTGTCTCACCTCTCATATTTGTTTCTTAGTACCTTTGATGTGCTCGTTTCTCCTCATATCCTCCCTTACTTTTACTGCACTTTGGAATCTAAACATGTCTGTGCGTTCCTGAGATTGTATATTTATTATAAAAATGAGCTTCCATCAGAGGCCTGATTGTTAGATAATTAAAGTTAGGAAAGAAGAATCCTATTTAACATGCTTTCATGAACCAAGCTGGTAACCAGCTATGTTTACATATATGTCCATCCTCTCTGCACTGTACTGATATTGATTAGTTGGTGACCTTTCAGCAGCCTGAGATTTTGTGATTTCTACATCACCAATCACACTGTCAGTGTATGCTAACCAGTAATAGTTGCAAGAGGAAGGCAGGATAAAGTTTTCATGCGTATTAGTGATGGAGTCTCTTGGGGAGCTCTTAATTCTAAGGAGACCTGTTCCTGAATACTGTGAATTGATTGAGCAGTCATTACTCACCTGTATATTGCCTCTGACTTACCTGAGAGAAGTTATCCGGATGAGGATTTGAGTGTTCCTTGACTCGGTCAAAAACCTCATTTTTAAAGCATTAATGGACTTTTTATTATGTAGTGTGATAGGACTGTGGAATTTGTCATGTTTTCTTCCTATCTTCTATGTAGATGGTTTGCAATAAAATATTAGGCCTGCAGAACAACACAGTGTCTACACAGAGCCCTATGAACATGAGGCAGGACTGCTGGAAGCTCATTGCCAGAACAGTGCCTGACACTAGCAGCACAGAGTCAATGTCCAGTAGGGTGTAAAGGCTACAAATGTATATTTTTTCCTTCATGTAAAAAAATAGATTTTTTTGTTCTGTTGGGGATAACAGTAATGATTTTCCAGCCATCCTCTCATTTCTTTGCTGTGTTAAATGTGTCAATGGACACACCTATGTAAAGAATAATTTTACTATGTTTGTTTTCAAATGCTATGTTGAATTAAATGATGATTGATTAAATTTCCACACCTGTAGTTGTGTTCTTCCTTTGTTATGCAATTGCACATGTATGACAGTGTATCCTGTGTTTTCTGTCTTCGTGCAGTTGATATAGAGAAGCCATTCACAAGAGGAGTCAAAGGTGGATATAAGTATTTCAAACAGATGCATTACGTAAGTCAAACAAGTGAAGGCATTTGGGGTTGGGTGCAAAATATACTTTATACGAATGTAAAAAATCTAGAGCAAGAAGAAGACAGCATTTTCCACCTCCTGTTCTGTCTTCACTCTGCGCTGTGTATCACATGCAGTGTCCTGCCCCAGAGCTGCCTGCATTGTAGCGATAAATGAAATCTTACTCCCAAGGCTGTGGCAGACAGCGTCCACCACTACAAACATGTCCATTATCATTTGGGGAACTGTTCTGTAGTCTTTTGTTTCAGTCACAGGTTTATTGGTGCGAGAAGTACCACAGCAATGCCGCTATTTTAAAGCATTTGAGACGACTCAGAGTCCAAGAACAGGTCGCACCTTGAAGTGCGTCATTCAAAGCACGTGTGAGAAACGCACAGGGACTACAGAGAAAATTCCCTCCCCTTTCCCCCCCCCCCTTTTTTCTTTTAAATATCACTTCTCAGGGAACAGTGCCAAGGGCATCATACAGAGCTTTCACGTGACAGCGCCAGCAGCCCTTCCCCATTTCCCATTTACATTGTCATGGCCCATCTCACCTCAGAGAGTAAGGATAGGTGACTTCTGATCTCCCTCTGCTTTCCTCAAAGGGCCAGAGGCTGAGGCCAGGCTCGGTAAGAGAAACCAGGAGCTAGGCTTTGGAAAAGCTCAGCAGCCATCGTCACTTAGATGTCTCACCCGAGCAGCACAGCTTTTAAAGACATGCCCTGGGTGCAGATGCTGATATCCCCAAAGCCCAGTCCCACGTGGCATGCTCAAGGGAGCTAAGGTCTTTGTTTCAATAAATAAAATACAAACGCTGTGTAAATAAAAGCTGACAAAACGCCATGGCAATGATGCCATTTGTGTTGGGTTGTTTTATGCAAGGATGCTCAAATTGTGGGGGTTGCTCCGGGAGCTGATAATTTTGTCAGTGTATGTTTAAGCATAAGTAAGGGTAGAATGTTCTGTATCTCAGTGAGCAAAGAATATTATTGCAATACAGTACCTTTCCATGAGACTAGCAAAGAAAACGGAGCACAGAGCCTGTTGGGCCAGGGAGGCCACTTTGAAATGCCAACAAATTGCACAAACTCATTTTTGAAGTGGTTGTTAGGTTAGTGCTTTTTTCTTTACATAAGGAAATGTTTCCTTGGAAAGACTTAAACACTCTTTGTGAATTTGCAGTTAAGTAAAAAGGACTATGTTGCATATTAAGAAAAAGAAATCGTCTTTTTAAGTTACACTACAGTAATCAATATCTTCTGGCTGTTGGGGCACTGTTGCAAAAGTCACCAATCAAAACACACGTACAGGCAAGCAGATGGTGGCGGTCAGTGTGAACATGTCAGATGTCTAGAGAGTGCAAAACATCCCAACAACTTCTTGGATTACCTGGTCTAAAGGCCTACAGACAGCAGTGGAAGGCAGAAAAGGTAGCAGCTGACAAGCAGGTAAGGGAAGGACAGGAGAAAAGAAGTGAAGCCACAAAAAGAAAGAAATTGCAAGTGCTCACCTCAAGCACCAGGACACTTGGCTTTGTTGGAAAGCTGGTAGCACAGCCATGTGGACAGGGAGAGGGGACTAACGCCTCCAAATACACTGATCTCCAGCCAAGGGAAACGAGGGGGCACGTGGCAGTGGTGTCTTCCTCCGGCCTGCTTGTCCCACCTGGGGCAGCAGGGCCACAACGTGAAACCTTGCTTCTGCTGGGCCCTGCCTCGGAGCTTCTCACCCACTTATTTTTCAGCCGAGTCTTTTTCCTGTTGATCACTCAGCATGCATGCTTCCCAAGGAAGACGAAAATGACTAATTGGGGACAATCGTTTTCTGAGTCTTTCTTTGATGTCCAAAGCCTTTTCTTCTGCGAATCTCTCAGAGTAGACATCTGGAGGAGCATACACAGGTATTACCTCTGGTGGGTTAAAAAATGACAGACATCAGAAAAAATGCCATTTTTGTCAAGTCATGCTTTTTGTGCCACGGGATCGTCCCTCCTTCCTCCTGGAAAGGGCAGGCAGGTAGCGGGCCTTGACGAGGCAAGGGTCTGACTCCTGCATACGGATCGACTGGCCCACAGGAGTCGCAGCAAAAGGGCAGCTTCTGGTAAAACTGTCTGCCCAGGGGCTGTCCTAGACCAGTGGATTTTAACCAACCCAGTGCAATCTGATCACTGGGGACTTTTTTTCCCACTGTATGAAAAATGTTTTTTTAATCATCTCTCTGAAGGGCACCATCCTGCTGCAGATATATTTCTGTGGAAAGAGGGAACCGGTAGAACCCCAAGCTGTTGCCCCACGTGGTGCCATCCCCACTGAGCTACAGGATCCCCATCGCACCCTAGCCAGTGCTGCAGGCCATCGCAGCTCTCTGTCGTAGCAGCTCAGCCTGCTGCTTTTAGCCAGCCTGCTCCTGGCTGCTTGTTTCTTTTTTAATGGTTTTCTAAGCCTCCATTAGGGCTTAGAAATCTGGAGTGATCTTCATTGCTGTGCAAGTGCAAAAAAGATGCATTCTGTTTGGATTTCAAAATGACCCATTAGAGATTAAATGATAATAGGTTTATTTAGAGCCTGAAGGAATTTCCTTCTTGTCACGTACGATGCAAAAGCACACAGGAGATAAAGCCTAGAGTAACTTTCAAGGCTATTTTTAATTTTTCCTCAAATAAGCTCTGCTTTTATTAAAAAAGGCCTTCAGACAGAGCAGGGTAGAGCATTCCTCTGTCATTTTTTGAAATGACTTTGAGCACCAAGCTGTGTCTACATTTTGTCAAGTAGTTCTTGTTACAGAATACGCACGGAAAAAATAAGGTGCGTGAACCTGATATCCAGCTATGAGTTTAAAAGGCTTTACATAGGCAGCAAAAATATATTGAAAATGCCGGAGGAATTATTTTAGATCATTCTCCTTTTCTGAATGCCATCCATAGAGAAGCACAAGCCCTGACTGCCCTGTAGAGAAGCTGATTTAATAAGGGTGGATCTGGGGAGACAGGGACACGCAGGCTGCCCGTCAGCCAAGAGAAACAAAAGCGCTGGATTAACTGCAGAGCAGACGCCATGCAGGAATATAACTCCTGCATGGGATAGCAGCTTGGCTGGGGACAACCTGCAGGGGCTGCAGACAGCCTGCACGGCAGCTATTCTTGGCTAATCTCCAGCTGAGCCTCTCTGAAAAGCTCTCCACTAACATGGAGAGGGCTGAAAAGAAAAAATACAGAAGAGTTCATTGCTTCTAGAGGGACAATTCTAGAGAATTTACTGGCCACACAGAAGGATTTTTCCTACACAAAATAGCTTTCTGACACTGGATGACTGGGGCATACACTTCTGGCTTATGTGGATAATTTCCTGCCCTGTTAAATGCAAAGCGCACTCTTCATAATGCTAGCTTTTCTCCCCGCTTCAGTTCCTTCTTTCTCTGAGGTATTTGTTGGGAAAGGCGGAGAGCCTCTTCACAGGCTGGCTGGGGCCACTGAGCACTTGCCAAGGGCCATCTCTCTGAAAGGCAAACAGGTTTTTAATCTACCTGCATGCCAGGGCCAAACCCTTTGTAGTCCCACTGTAAATGAGATTTGTTTTACTTCCTCTGAGATAACAGAGGGAAAAAAAAGAACAGGCCCAAACACACGATGCACAAAGATATTATAGAGAGAACTAAGAGCTCAGGTCAAGCCAAAAAGACACAGATTCAGATGGAAAAGAAACCCTAACAAGAGAGGGGGCAGTGGCAAATACAGAGGCACAGTTCCTCTGGTGCAGAGAGTTTCTACAGCTCCCTAAACATCAGAGAAGATGGGAAGGACAGGAAGACTTTTACTGTATTACTGCAGAGCAGGGTGTAACCGACCAGAGGTAGCAGCAATCCCTCAGGACATCATTGCACCCTGATCCGGCCTGCCCACCCTGTACTTGTTCTGAGTCACCTTACATCTTTATGGAAACAATTCTGGAAAATCTTGGCTGGTCAAATCAGGCTGCTTCATGACTACAGGTGGCCTCAGTCCCAAGGAAGGGTAGCCAGGCACCCCAGGGATGGCTCTTAGTACTTCCCTGATGGATTTGAATTAAATGCTTCCGGTGCAAGGCATGACTACATTTTGGCATAACCTAGTTTCCTTTGAAAAACGCTTCCAACTGCCCCTTCTCTAACTATTCTGCACTGCCAGGACTGAGCTAAGGGGTCCTAAGAGATACTCACAAGCACCTCACCTCTGAGCTCTGATACGCACAAATGCTCTCTACAGAGGGCTGGCACTCAGCTACTCCATGTGAAAGACAGGACTGGACATCACCCAAGGAAAGGAAAGTAAAAAGAAAGCAGGTGGCAGACGTGAATCAAACTGGGGAATGTAAACTAGTAATGGAAATGCAGACTCTGCACCAGTCTGTACATGCCCTATCCCATTTATGTAACACTATCTATAAAGCTTTTGACTTCATACCTGCCAGTACAAAATACGAGGTCGGTTCGACTTAACCCAGAAAGACACTGCTGCAGCAGTTTTTCCCCTTTGACCTATGCGAGAGGATATCTTTTTTTCCCTTTTTGACTCACGTTTTCCTTTTTTGCCTGGCAATCAGTTTACGTGCTCTTCTTCCTGACATTGTGGAACAGCTCCTAGAAAGAGCTGAAGCTTATCTGATTCTCCGCACACATGAACCCACTAGCTGCACCCCTGAAACTTATGAGTCAGGTACCTCAAAAATAATAAATCCCTACATCAGGGAAGAAAGAAGTCATATTTTTTAAAGGGCATTCTGACTTTGGCTCTTTCTCATATGAACTGAGTTGCAATGTCGAGCCTTTCCAGGTTATCCATGGTTACTCGGAGTCTCTTGTAAATCAGTTGTCTTCCTCAGGGTCGCAAGGAAGAATTTAAAATAGCCTCAGGCCTGGGACAAAACTGGAAGAATTAAGGATTTATCCTGATCACTCAGAACTAATGGACTAAGGTAGCAAGGCAGCTGCTGGGTTGCGACATGACGGTGACTGATCACAGACCAGTGATATCACACACAAAAACACAGCCTGGATTGCCGGGCTTCAGATATGATGAAATGCATCCCTCTGGGGACTGCTGTTGCTTGGGGGATACACAGAAACCTGCAGACTGCCACAGAGTTCGGGAGGATCAGATTCCCAGTGCTGCACAGAGAGAGGCCCAACTCTGGTAGAACAGAGAGATGGCAAAGCTGACTGCTGTGCGCTGCCATGGGCTACCCCAGCCTGCTCTACAGTTTGGACTTGGGGAATGCTCTTTCACTGGTGTCTTTCAAAGCATAAACAGTACTTACTCTTACTTGACATGTGTGATTCCCAAATGTCCTGTATTGTGGTAGACCTGCTGCAGAAAGGTCTGCTGCGTGTGATTCAGGACTTGGAGGTCTGTAAGAGGAGCAAGAAATAACCCAGTTAAAATCCTGGACCTGTCTGAGCTTTCCATTACTAGATTCAGAACCCAGCATAAGAAACTGGTAGCCAGAGATAGTGAAGCTCCTGAAATCTCCCTCCCACTATTCAAGGGCTGTAATATCTGTCACACGTTGGTCTCAGGGGTAGTTTGAGGACTATCTAGTGTAGCATTGGTGACCAACTCTGACAAAGAGTTAAATAGGGGTAAAGCATCCCTACCTCCACACAGCCCCCCTTAAATGTTTGTACCATGGACTATTGTGACAAAAGGCTACCAATGGCACATATTGAAAAACCCCATCAGTTCACAGGGCAGATGAAAACTGCCACTCCATCATCCTTTGTGGAGATAACTCTAATGAATAATAATTTGTATTACCACAACATTTGGGAGACCTCATAACATGCTGGCCCATGTAGCTCTTCATGCTGGGCAGCTGTTTATTTGATGGTTTAGGAACCTCTTTCTTATTTTTTGGAGCCCATACAAACATCTCTTTTTGGTTTGCAAAAATACTGGCTGCCATTTTGATGGCAGCCAGTGGGATCTAGCTTGGGCACTGCTCAGGTGCTGGTCCCTCATTCACAGGCGATTGTCATGTTACCTTGATTATTTTTACATGATTACTGAAATGCAGCCATTTCCTGGGTGGCATGTGGCAGCCTTTTTCTAACGGGACGGCATTAAAATCAGAAAATGTGTACTCAAGCATTGTAATTGCTTGCTCATTTGACGGACTGGCCTCTTCTCCCCCCCCCTTTTTTTGATTTCTCCTTTCACCACAAATATTTTTGCTAGGTTGAAATTTGACGTCAAGTATGAGTTCCAAAGCAAACGAGCCTGTCAGGTGCACAAAGGTCAGACAAAATGGAAGACAAAAAAGGAATGGGGGAAGCAGCTGACTATCGTTATTAATAAGCGATATTTCATGTTCAGCAACACCAAAAGGAGCTCCGACCTCGAGCCGTCCCCTCGCTCCTGAGGAAGCCGAGTCCC